GAGGAGGAGGAGGGAGGGAGGGAGGGAGGGAGGGAGGGAGGGAGGGGGGGGGGGGTGTTTGGGAAACCGACTGTTGTTGGGGCGTACTTAGGTGCCCATGTCAAAGTTGGGAATCAAGGCGACATTAAAGCGCAAAACACAGGTACGACGAAACCGTCTGATCCGACGTGGGACTGCCGGAATGATCTTCGGGTGCGAGGTTTTTCGCAGCACCGGAGAGCGTTGAAAACCCTCGCCTCGGACCGTCGTATCGCCTGATCGGACGGTTTCGTCGTACATATGTTTCGCGCTTAAAGGGGCACTGACACCCCAAAGGTCGTATTATTTTTTATTGTCTAAAACGATGCAAGTTATAGTCATAGACATGCAAAAAAAAAAAATGCATTGCGAAAAAATATTTTCCTGCGCGCGTGCCTGTTTTTTTATTTTTGCCGTTTATATTTTCCGCACTCACCTCCTTGCTTCTTTTGATCGGTAACGTCAAAAATCAGGAAATTTCGAAGCTTTTTGGCGACATTTCTTTTTACATTTAATAACGGCAATCGTAAAACATGTTTTTTAACGCAATTGCAAACGCACTACGGCCCCTCTTTTTGAAATACCAAAAATCAGATTTCGGTGTGATGTCGCTTCCTGGATTTGTATCCTCTCTTGGAAAACTTGGTGGCGCTCGAGCAGAGGCTTATCGGCGAGTCGGGGAACAAACCGGTTTTTTCCTGTGCCAGTGCCCTTCTATCCCGCCTGGTCACCTCCTCCTCGCTTCGGGTCGCGGTGGCAACGGAGGTCCCAAAGAGAGTCAAGTCGCAGGAGACCGCAAAATTTGACTCACTGCACTGGCGCGGATCACGCGGGAACTTCAAATTCGGCATTTGGAAATTGTTTTTTTTAATTCAGAAATACTGAATTCCCAAGTTTCGAAGTTTGAGGGTAATGTCCCGGCATCGTTTCCAGTAGTTTCGGATAATAAAAAAAAAAAATATGATTTTGATGTGTCAGTGCCCTTTTAACCGCGTTAGATTTACTTGCACTTTCTGCACCGGTGCAGGAGGTGCAACTAAATCGAACGCAGCTATTGGTGCCGGGCAGCACCTGTTACCACCATCTTCGTTTGTATAAACACGCTTGTCTCCTTTCTCCTTCCTCGCACTTTACTCTCCCCCCCCTTCCCGACTTCCTTCATTGAAGAGTTGGTAACCCTATGTGGTTTGCACCGTCATATCAGGAATGATAAGAGTAATGTTATCGTAATCAAATGTTAGAGAAACTAAAGTTTTAAGTGAGGCGGACAATGAAAATAAACGAGCTGGTGCCACTTGTATCAGGGAATGGCAGCAGTCTTGGGAAGAGACGCTTTATTCCCTGCCAGCACCATCGCTTTCATTATTAGGCGGTGGTAATATCAGTTTCATATGCTGCTCGCACATTATATTTAACAATTGAGTGCACCGTACACCGTTATGCGCACATCTATCGCTGTGGTTGTGCTGGAAGCATTTGATAGAAAGTCGCAGGTATTCCAAATGGAAGGCCCCATCGTAATAAAAAAAACGCCAACATCCTAAAAGTGATTTTATTTTTTTTTTATCATTGCAAATAATTGGAAGTGATCAATAGACATGCTCGAAGTTTGAAGCTAGAAAACTGCATACTAGGTGCAAAGAAACAAAATTATTTCACAAGCCGGATTTGAAGCTCTTACGTGAGTCATGAATGTGCAAAATGTCTTAAAAAGATTTTTTTTATTGCAAATGAAAACTATGCATCATTGAGTGCCCAATCTCCACACAAACATAATGCCAGCGGTTCGGACCAGGAGTCAATGTTTCACGGCTTGCCGTCATCAGATAAAAAAGTTTCAAGCAATTTTCTGAAATTTTCGATGGGAAAGTGGTGGCCGACAAAGCTCACAAATGCATGGAAATGAATGGTGTCAGCTACCGGTATAGGGCCACATTTTTTTTATTGAAAGTTAAAAAAAAATTACTAACAACTTTTGAATAAAATAATGGTTATTTCTGAAACTTTGGCATCTGGTTAGGACTTCCAGCACCGTGTTTTGGTAGAGACTGCGCATTCGACGACGCAAGGTATTTTTGTGGCAAAAAAAAAACTACATTTTTTGGGGGGGTTCACGATTGTGATGTGGTTCACTCCTTGCTTTTCTGTTTTCTTGGAGGACTTTAAATCGGAAGTGTCATTTCTCATTAATCAGTGGGATTGCACGCCTGCCAGCCACGCACCTCATTCGCTTCGCACGTACCATTTGTCCTTTTATTGCGTGCAGACGATGCTTCACTTTTCAGTTAGAGTTTCTTGGTATGAATCATCTATCTATATTTGAGCATTTGGCTGCTGTCAAATATCTAAAAAAATGTCCAGTAGGCATTAATCAGATCGGACATGAATTGAATATAAACCCTATTTTATTGGTAATATCTTGAATTTCGGGTACTCGCACACCCCTAGCTAATTTAGGAGTGTTAAAAGAATTCAGCTCGAAATGCTCTTTTCTTGTTTCTTCCCGGAGAAACAAGAGTAGGACTGCGCAATTGATCAATTAACCTTCCGATTAAACAATGAATGCTTTAATCTTTTTAAATCTTTTTAACTTGGTAATTGGTTGAAGTTAGGCGGACCAATACATGGTATAAAGAGAACACTTTCTTATATGTTTCTTTACTGTAGTGCTGTTGAAGTATTTGTACAAGTAAAAGAAAAGCCAGGTCGACATTATTTGAACAGTCTCTTGCTCGTCAAGTTCTATCCTCAGTTGAAAATACAGTAAAACCTCGTTATAACAAAGTTCAAGGAGCGGTCGTAATTATTTCGTTATAACCATTCGTTTGTTATAGCCAATGTCAATTTCTTCCCACCATTAACAAGCAAGGGGAAATATGCTTGCTTTGTTATATCCATTAGTTTGTTATATCCCATTTTGTTATAACGAGGTTTTACTGTATACATTGCACTGTTTGTCAGAGTAAAATAACCTTTCAGTGGCAAAAATTTGTAGCTCTCTTTTGTTAGGCAGTGAAGTAGTGCAACCGATGAATCAGTTAAAAGCTGATAATTAATTGGGTTTAAATGTTCGACGTCCAGCCGTAAGCAAGAACCTTGAAACAGTCTATTTTCCTTCTGAGCCATGGGGAGTGCCGAGATAAAGTGCCGATTTTATGCAGCTTGACGAGGAAAACAATGGGACAAATGTAATTTTAGAAAGCCCTAATGACGCTTTGCAACTATTTTATTTCGATAAAAATGTCCCTTATCTATTGAAGAATGCAAATTTATTTAGACTTTATCCAGGCAATTGGACACACTGGCATTCCAAAGGCACGGTTGCCTTTTATTTTCAGTGATGGGTTAAGAATGCAGTGCATAGCTCACCCACGGGGCGCAGAACACCTGCTTGCAGTCCCCCTGCTGTCAAAAAAATAGTGTGTCAGCTCCGCGACATGGCAACAAATGGCAAGAGCTTGGGGGAGGCGACTTTGGGCTCAGGTTCAAGCGGAGTAAGCGAAGCTTGCTGCTAATCGAGCAGGAGGCATCATAGCAAGTCAGCAATAGTGTTTGCACTAGTTCACAATGCAAAGAATAGGGCTAAAAGATTTTCTATTTTGAGCAGGACACGATTGTAACTTCGTCCCACGAAACCTTCATGTGTGGCAGTATTAGAACAAGGCAATAGGTAGTTACCTGCCTTAGAATGCAGCTGATCGCAACAATGCTTTACGAGGGTAGCATGTTCTGCATATGAATGCTGCTGTGAAGGCATAATTTCAATAGGCACTTCTCAAGTTATTGATGAGTAGAGGAGTAGGTGGGAGCCCAATGAGGCAGCACAGTAGTGGCATCATTTGAGCATCTCATGCAGTGTACCACATTTGATAGAGGTGACGGCAGTATTTGAACATCGACCCATGGAAACCACCGTGAAGGAACGCTTATACCACTGTGATATTTCCGACATAACGTGAATCGAGCGCAAGCAGAAAACAAACGAAAAGTAACCATCGGCGCTGGCAAAGCGTGTTGACCAGTCTCGGTAGCCGCTAGACCTATTGGCACCACCAGGCACACAGCCAGGACTGTTTCGGGGGGGGGGGGGGGGGGGGGGGGGGGGAGGAGAGGAGAGGAGAGGAGAGGAGAGGAGAGGAGAGGAGGAGGAGGAGGAGGAGGAGGAGGGAGGGGGGAGGGGGGAAAGGAGGGAGGGAGGGGCGGCCATTTTTGACAAAGTGCTGTATGAGGGGGAGGGGGGAGAGGAGGTCCCAGCAAAATGAAAGATTTCAGGGGGGGGGCCCGGGCCCCATGGGCCCCCCCCCCCCCCCCTGGCTACGTGCCTGGGCACCACCAAGCGGGCACGTTGAACACTTCGATGGCAACGCAACCGTTGCAGATACAGCCACAGCTTTATAACATAAACCTGGGAAAGTACAAAGCAAAAAAATTCCTGCCAGAATGCGCCACTTTTCAGCATCGCCTCGCCAACAGTGTGCGCTGCCTTATTGAAAAATTATTGCTCGTAAAGCTGTGACGTCGGTAACGTCAGGGAAACGAGTGGAAGCTATTGGCTGCTGTAGTGATGCGATTCCCTTTGAGGGGCGTCTGGCGCTGAATTTCTAACCTGTCGTCGACTATAGCCACAACTTGGTGTAAAAAAAATAGATTCACTTAGTGGGGTTGTGTTTTACTATGGGGGGGGAGGGGGTGACTAAGTGAATTGACTGCAGATTAAAATAAATTATCCTGCTCGCTTGCCTTTTTTATTTTTGCTGCATTGAAAGGTTTTGCTGTTAAAGCAGTAATGTTAATTTGTTGGGCATTACTTGCAGCTTTCCTAGGGAACCTGATATCTTTAATGGTGCAGCATCTTGGCATTGCACCAAGCCTCGATGAATATAAAATTTTAGTGGATCGACTTCATAGCCAAGCTTTCTTGAGTGTTTAATGTGCTTTCTTTATGAATTCTGAATTTATTGGCAATTTTCTTATCTTTTAAGAAAATGATGGACATGTCAAGGGAGAGCTACGAAGCGGTCCACAGCTCGTCGAACCTTTCCTCCAGGCAGACGTGGGACAACTCTGAAGTGTCTTACGGCTTTGAGGCTTTCTGAGTCTGGCATTGGGGTAGATCTTGTACATACAAGGTTTGGGAAAAGCATAAAAAAATCAAAATGACAGAGCCTCCCAGTGTTAGTTGAAGGGTTACTCTATAAAGCTAATAGGAAAGCCATTTGCATCTATAATTGGTATCAACTATCTTGTAGTACGTTGTCAAGGCCAGTGCAGTTTTCACAGTGTTGCTGCCCCACCCTGCACAGCTGCAAAAGCATTCGACTGTCGTGCGCCTCATCCATGCTCGCCGTCATGTGAAGGAGACGCATTAGAGCACTGCCAAAGCTATACTAGCATTGACAGCGTAGCACAAAGTAGTTCAGACGGAGAATTGAATACTTTTATAACCTCAGGAAGAATGTTGACTTACAAGTGCGATGCAACTGATCAAAGATTTTGTCTTACTTATGATCGATGGGCAGTTCAATCTCTTCCGCATTCATTTTTGGCATAGTAGCATTCTGCAGTTATTGAGAGGCTTGGTGTGATTGGGTATATATTTTATCTCTTGCCTTAAACATGGGCTTCATTTTAAGGCTGCTTCTAGTGTGCCAACTGAAGCCCTACATCTTGCAGATGTAACCATAGTCATGGCCATGTTCTTGCTATATGCACAAAGCCAGTCAGTGTCTAAGACTTCATAATGTCATCTGATAAGTCTATGGCACATTTTGTATTAGGGTGCATGGTACAGCAAAATTGCCACTTGTTTTTCAAGCTGAAAAAAATGTTTACCATACTCGTTTCTACCTCAAGAGAAAAGAAAGTTCTGCGCATTGTTCATACGCCGCCCGAGGTAGTTCTTACAAGTTTTGGTTGTCGGAGGAAGATGTGATGCTTTTGGCATTCCAATTGTGTATGTGCTGATAATATATGTCTAACCTAAAATGTGCCTACATATGTCTTATTTCTCTACATAAAGAGGGGAATTAGTAATGCTCTGCAAGGAGCCAGACTTTTTTTTACTATAGCACTTGAGGTGAAAACGGGTATAGTTGCTTCTTTAGTTTTCAACTCCTACCGAAATATGTCTGCATCTTGCGTGGTAATAGATGGTAAGGGCCAGTTTGTTTATTGATGCAAATGTTTATTTTTTTGGTAAAGTGTGAACTATTTTTATAATGGTCATTACATTTCATAGTTCTTTAATATATCTTACAGTAAAATAAATGGTCATTGAGGCTCTTTGCCCGAAGCTGCAACTGGGATCATTAAAATCTAGTGATTCATTTAATGTTATGATTAAAAATGTGGGACTGCAGCCCACATGAGCGGTACTGTATCATAATTTCTTCCTCACCTGTAATTTGTGCCCACAAGTAAATTATGAGTTTTAGTGTTGTAACTACAAATACTGTTGCCGGGCATTTGTTAAACCGAAAGAAGGTGTCATACATCTACTCTAGCCTACAAACTCCTAGGTGACTGCATTGTTGTGATGGCACCTGGCTTTAATACACATTCACCTTGGTAGCCTCAACTGCAGTCTTAGTATTTTGTACATGCAAGCTTTGTTACCCTTTGGATCACTTGTTGCCCAACTGTTATTGTTATTTGAAGTGTCACCACATCTTTGGTGCATGGCAAAGACTCTTCAGCAGCTGGTTTTAATACAAATATGGCTAATGCAAATGTGGGACATGGCCAGTAAACTTCATAAGTGGTCCTGGATGTTTCAGCATGTGCTCAGGCGGGCTGATAATTTTCTAAAAGATTCCTGTTGAGTGCATTTTTCTTTAGCATCCTAAATATATAGGATTTTTTGTGCTGTGCTTTGACAATTGTATATGTCCATGAATTTGTTTTCTCTATTATTAACTTGGAACTGCAGCCTGCGATTGCATTTAAGGTAGTCAATAGGTTGCTTCTGAAAAGGCTAAAGTCTCTGTACTGCCAGTTTTTACAGTACCATGTGACATTATGACACTGGCATATTTCTATTCAAGAAACAGATAAAAAGGTCCACATGTTTGGGAATTGTTGGCCTAGTAGCTTCAGAGCAGTTACTTTTCTCTTACATTCCTAACTTTGAAATATTTTATTTTTAAGTTTGCTATAGTTTTGCTATGATGATTGTTAGAGTTTGAAGTCTTGTCGTGGTTACTCTTGTCAGAAGGTCAGGAATATATACTTTTGCTTGGACATTTTTAATAAAAACTTTACTTTAATAAAAGTCAATTACAAACATGTTCTGGTGTTGTGTATTACTGTGATGTGAAGGTATGAAGCAGTTTTAAGCAAGAATGGACATCATAAAGTGCAGTCATTCATAACAAAATTCTTGAGTGAATGTTTCAAGAGAAACTGAGTATTTGACATGCCCCTGGCTAATTCCATGCTCAGGTCAGAACTGAATGGAATGCCCTTCACAGCTGGGATCCATTCATTTTATTTTAAATCGGGTATACCACTTGTAGGCAGCTAATGTGTTTCCCATGCCTTACCACACTACACATTTCTTGGCAGGGTTCATCTCCTCATTGTTTCCGCACTGGAATGCTTTGGAGAACTCCACCATGTTTTCAACAGCCACATTGCAGCGGTACTCCTCCAGGGAATGGGAGTCTGAGTTCATAATCATCTTGACAGCTTTTGGATTGGTGTCTGCACACCACTTGTAGGCACTGCTGATGAAAAAAAGCTGGTCAGGTGTAAACTCCTCCAGACCTTCAAGGGGAATGTTTTCCTCTTTGCCCCCTGGGTGCTCGTCAACGTGCAGGCGGTACGCATGAAAGGATTGTCTCAGGCCACCGTTGTCTGCAATGTTTTCGGAGAGTGTTTGCTTGCCGTTGAGGTGGCGTTTGCTGTGGGGCTCGTAGATGCTGTTGTACTGCAGGACAAAGCAGTAGTTCTTGAGGACAAAGTTACTCTTGGTTTCCCTAGTCCACCAGTTTCTCAAGTTCCCATTGTCATCGAAGTGGCTTCCCAATGTATCGAAAGCGTGGCTGATCTCGTGCCCTATGATGGCCCCTATACTTCCATAGTTCATTGCAGGGGGCAGCCCATAGGAGTAGAAGGGATAGTTTAGGATGGCTGCTGGTATCGTGATGCTGTTAGTTGAGTGTTCATAGAAAGCGTTCAGTGTTGCGGGACTGAATGTCCAGTACTCCTCATCTCTTGTGTTGGTTTGACGAAGTATTGACAGTGATCGGAACGTATAGACTTCTTTGAGCTCCATCAAAATCTTGACGTATGGGCCGTCGATGTTGGGAATGTCTGCATGCGATTCATCAAGCTCGGTCATATTTTTTATCCAGTCGGGGTAGGCAACATGAGAAATGATCCGTTGCACTTTAGCCATTGCTCGAGTCCTTGTCTGGTCGTCCATCCAAGAATTGAGCCTGAGAGCATATGCAAATGCAAGCTTGATGTGGTCAACGACCACTTTGGCATCATCTTTTATGTAGTCTGGTGTATAGGACTGCACAAAAATTGCCCCGTATGGCATTGGAAGGTAATCCTCCACATCTTTCCTGCACAGCTTCTCCTTGTCTACATTTGCGAAATCCATGCCAAGTTCTTTGCCATAATTGCTGACAGCTTCCCTGATTTCTTTAGATGACAGGGGCCCTAAGAGAAAGGCAATTGACCAGCCAATGAAGTCTTGAAACATACGCACTGTATTGTTTTGCTGAATGAGGCTAGTGACGAGCCACAAGTATCCCGGGCTCATGACAATCACATCATTTGTCTCTTTGACCTGCACATTTTCTGGGAGGTATCGGTTGAGTGTGCTGAGCCAGCGCTTGGAACTAACTTGTGGTGTCAAATTCTCTAGGTGCTGTATCTGGTATTTCTTGGGGGGCCACGCGTCCGTCCTCCCTAGCACGTCAAAATGGAAGTGCTTGACAGAGGCAAGCACTATAGGTGCCATAACCACATTCTCGGCGAGCGTCTTGTAATTTGTCTGGTTGCCTCCCAAGATGGTGGCAATTTTTTGGACCATCTTCATAAAAATCAGGTCTTGCGTGTCATTCTTGGTCGCGTTCCCACTCTGGACCTCGTGGAAACCCACTTCCAGGTTCTCCATGGTGTTGAAGACCAGCACGTTTGACCTAGTGTCCTCTGGGTCCGGGATCACCGACACGCTGAATAAGCTTGGAATGGACCATCGCAGAGATAACTGAATAATGATCTCGAACAGATCCACTGGACTCTTGCTGTCCACCGTTGGCCAAGGCATGTGGAGGTAGCCTAGAAGCTCCTTGAGCACTTTCATAGAGGCTGACGAGTCTCCCTGCTCATAGTTTTCTAGGCACTTCTTGTACATTAAAGCTGCCTTCTCTAGTGCACTTTGCTTTCTGCCGGTGATGGGCACGTCATTGAGAGCCTTTTTGATGACGTTGTCCAATTCCCTACCCACTAACGAGAAGGGGCTGCTGCGCACTTCGTTACGGCGCACCGGGTGCTTTCGTCTCCAACCGTCGCACACGAAATTGTAAAAGTTCTTGCACGGGTCCACACTCCGATTCAGTGACCGGGCTATGCTCTTGGCCACTTCCTTGCAGACTTGGCTACGGCACACCACGTTTTTGGGGTCGTTCCTCGCAGAGCGGTTGCTCTGGTAAGACGCCACGTAGCCGCCCACATATGCCGTGCACGCCACTATCATTCCCGCGGCCAGGAAGAGGACGTAGGTGGAGCTGACGCATAACCGGCAGTCCTTGTTCAGGTGCCAACCGCTGTGCTGGGTCTGGCAGCTGCGGTGGTGTTGGCCAAGCTGGCGTTGGTTGAGCCTGCGCTGTTCTTCAAAGGGTTCATCCTCGGGTGCTTCGTCAGGGTGTGGTGTGTCTCCGGTGTTCCCAGTCACAGAGCTTGCTGCATGACAACCACACACATTCATAATTTAGATGAAGTGATCCTTCACAAGAACGAAGGCAGCGCATGGAAGATTCCGCTAGGTTTTCAAGCAGATTTCTTTTTAGCTATTCTGTTTTTCCTTGTGGTTCACCGTTAAAGAATACTTATATTTAATCCTTACGTTAACACCTTTCCTAGCATACTTTTGCACTAGGTTTCCTCACATTTACAACCAGAGTATTTAATGTGCGTTTAGTTATATCACACCAAGATTGTGCCAATAACTCTTGAGGAGTGGGAGGTTTACACAAAAACCATTACCTATGAGAAGGTACAGGGTGTTCCCTAGAAAAAAAGAACCGTGTTTTTCAGCCCGGGTAAAGAAACTGCGTCTCAGAAAGCTGAAACTCTGTGAGAATGTGACTGGCGGTTGGGATAGAATGCAAGAGTTTGAGAACATGACGTTACCTGGATCAAAAGATAATTGAGGAAAACAAAATTTCTATATGCACTGATATTGCTAAATATTGTCAGAACGAATCGGCATTGTGGACGCTTGTGGGATTTACGTTAGTGAAACACTTGTCAGCAAGAAAGAGCATACTGTTTTTTTTCTTGCTAAGCCTTTTTTTTTTTAGAGCGCAGCTCTTAGGCGCTCGTTTCCGGCTTGAGCGGCGTCGGCGTAACCGCGCATTATGGGAACTGTCCCATAATGCACCCTGAGGTCACGTGACCCCCTCCCCCGAGGAGATTCAAGATTGAGGGGAGGAGGAGGGGTCTACCCTCCCCTCAGTACCCTTCCATCCTCCTCAACAGCTGTGCTCTAATTCGGCGTTACAGGGAGTCTGAAATAGATACTACAATCTCGGTTCTTGTTTTGTTAATATTAGACTTGGTGGACATCGGCGCATAGAGAAATTTTGTTTTTCTCAATAATCCTTTGATCCAGGTAACATCATGTTCTCAAACTTTTGCGTTCTATCCCAACTGCTAGCGTCAAATTTTCACAGAGTATGAGCTAGCTTTCTGCAATGCATAATTTACTTCCCCAAGCAGAAAAAAAATGTTTTTTTTTTGTTTTTTTTTAGGAACGCCCTGTAATTAAAGTCTGAGGCTGAGGACTTTTCCAACTTCATCAAAATTATAAAAAAGGATCTTGATAGGCTGTGCATAGTATGTAGATAGCCTAAGTGTCTCGTGAGGTACACGACCGCAATCATTTACAATACGCACTAAAACAAATGTACACCCTTAAAATCAGCTTGTCCCAGGGCTAACACCATGCGCCTCGTAGATAAGAAAGCTTAAGCCCTTTCCTGGGTCACTAAAGAAAATCACCTCAGGCCAGAGATTGGATACGACGTCAGCGTTCGGCTGGAACTCGTGTCCAATCTATGCGAACACGAATCCATGCCTAGCGCTGACGCCGTATCCAGAGCCGTTTGTACTGAGAGAGTTTGGCCAATGGGTGGAGCTTGTTGCCCGCTAGAACCAGCGGATTTCGAGATAACACAAAATAACATTACTTCTTTGTCTTGTTCATTCCTGAGAAATAGCATAGAGTTCCAATGAGTCGGAGTCACAAAATGGCGGACGGAAGTAGTCATCCCCCGGTTGTCAGACTATGCTGCTGTGGTTGCCAGGCCGTCAGAATCTCCCTAAGAAGGCCAAACTCAGTATAAACGGCTCTGGCCGTATCCAATCTGGCCTGTGGCGGCCTTCTTTGGTGACGCAGGAAAATTCAGCACTTGTGCTTTCTTATCTAAGAGGTGTTGCTGACACCCTAAGGGAGTTGTAACAACGCCCTTATAATGTCGATGAACACTGAAAAGATGCTTCACTGGCGACATTTTTTTAGCAGGATTAATGGGTCAGGCTTGGCGGGAGGGGGGGGGGGGGGGGTGCTTTGCAAAGAGATGCAACCTTATGAACGGGTCTGACGTCACGGACGAGATAAATGCCATTTCTCCGAGAACAACGTATTTTTTTCACACACAAAAATAAGCCTGGCGTATGGCCTTTCAATAAAAAAAAAAATATATGGACCTTGAAAAATGTGTGTGTGTGTGTGTACAACGGGGGGGGGGGGGGGTAAAAGCACACACGGTTCCATGGCGAATCTGGAGCGATACAGCTGCTCCATGACAGTGGTCTCAAATACTTCACTAGAAAGAATATATTCCATAGCGCTCATTTGCATTAGACGGCGCGCCTACAGCACAAGCGCAGCTAGTGGCGTGGGCATCGCATCCCGCGTCCGAGAGGGTACTTCGTCGCGCGGTCACGCGGCGCCGAGGGCGAGGGCTGCTGCGCGACGCACCGCGATACCGCGGGTTCACCGAGAAACCCGAGAAAGCAGAGATGGCTGTCTCGACTGGCGCTCGGAACGCCCTCGGAGATAGATGACAGCAGTCATTCCTCCATATTGAAAAGAAAACCCCGAGGCTGCGAGGCATCCAGCCTTTCCAACGACGCAAAGCATGTCCGCGCCAAGACCATTGCATTTTCGCGGAGCGAGATACATTTCCCTTGTAAATTATTTGACGCCGAGTTCACATAGAAAGCAGAGACTGCGGTCTCGACTGACGCTCGAGAGACCCACGAAGATAAAGCGGTGTTCACATCCCGGCGCACGCACCACGCGACGAAAACGTTGGGCTTCTGCGATGCGGCGCATGCATGATGTCAGCTACGCGGGGGAGGGAGGGAGGAATTCTCGGGCGGCACAAGCAATCCTGGTTTGGTGGCGGATCAGTATGTTTTCGAGAGTTTGTTTTCAATAATATTTTGTCGTTAAACTATTTGGTAAATTCGTCTGCGGTGGTGTCAAGTGTGGAAACCTCTAAATTGGGTTGTGCACGCTGGTATCCCTCCCCGCGGCACCTCACGTCGAAGTGAACAACGAAGCTGAGGAGGAAATTGCGTCCGCTGTCGACGTCATGGACATCCCCCCGCGGATTTCTCCCCCACCCTTCCCAGGTCAAAGGGGAGGAAGTGGCCGAGTGGGCTAACGCGGCTCAGCTCGGAGCGTGGAGCGAAAGCTTCCGCTGGGAAGTTGGAACCTCCTGGGCTCGATCCCCGCCGCCCCCGCCCGTTTCGATCTGGATGAGTTTCGTACCCGCACGTGTTCGTGTGATCACTACTGTGTGATGCACGTTAAAAAACCCAGGTTAGCGGTTGTACTGCACTGGCTAAATTTCTCATCTACAGCTAAGACACCAACTAGGAGTCCCCCATCGAAATCGTTAGTTGTTTCAAAACACTTGGAGTGTTTTTCAGTGAGACAATGAGCTGGGATAATCATATAAACTATATCGTTCCAAAGCTTGCTCGGGTAGTTGGAATCGTAAATCGCTACCGATCTGTTTTACCAACAAACATTAAATTGTTGCTCTATAAATCACTATTTTATTCCCATTTAGTTTGGGGCACATCCACAATGACTAATATAGAAAAACTGTTTTTGCTGCAGAAAAAAATATTGAGAGGAATATGTAATGTGCCACATGACTTTCATTCTGCCGATTTATTTAAGACTTGTAAAATAATTAACATTTCTAAATTATATCAGTACAGACTCGCTACAAGTTTTAAAAGTGAAAATAAAAGGGGATTGTGTTTTCTGGAAAGACTTGCGTCGTTAAGGCAAATTTGCCCACATTATTCCACCCGCAACGCAGAGAAATGGAGGATGGTCACTCAACGAACAAATTATGGCTATCAAATGTTAAATTTCACACTCCCACATTTACTAAATAGTTTTAGCATTGATGATATTGACTTTAATAGTTTAACTTTCAAAGACCTGCGCTTATATTTTTGTACGTGATTTTTGTTTTCATTCTATGTTTTGTACTTGGGTGAACCTTGGTTTGTAGAAATGTCAACCGTAGATGTGCAACGGTTTCACTATATACTTTGCATTTTTTGTATTTTTTTTTTCGCCTGCTTGCTGCTGACCAATGTAAGGGGCCCGAGGACCAGTCAAGCTGCCTACTGCAGCTTTTTTCCTTTGGGCCCCCCATCATTTGATGGAAATAAAGTTATTATTATTATTATCATTATTATTATTATTATTATTCCGTTGTGGCGCATCTCCATCAAGGCTGTATAAACATAAAGAGCAAACTATTTTTTTTCCCCAGATCAAAGAAGAAAGCACCCGAGGCTGCGGCGCATTCAGCCATTCCAACTACGCAAAACCTGTCCGCGCCAAGGCAATCGACACCACCCAGAACCAAAGCCTGTGCACTTAATTTCGACATCATCAGAGCGAGATTGAGCGCAGACATTTTGGACAGGAGTGCTCAATCAGCATTCGGCTGGCAGTCGTGTCCAGTTAACACGTCAAACAAGGGACGCACGGGCTCGAGCACGGTATCCCCCTCTGTACTCACAAGCTCGGGCTAGAGCACGGTAGCCTCCTCTGTACTCACAAAGCCCGGCAGTTCGATGACGGAGCCATCCCGTACGAAAATGTCAGATCTGACGCTTCCAGTTCGGATCCGCGGGGTTCTAAACTTGCAGACAGTTCCGATCCGCGCGATTCTGGGTGTAACCAGTCGGATCCAGTGATACGCAACGCACTGGAATCGCACGGTGATCGGTGGATCCGATCCGCTCCTGTTTTTCCAGTAGGGTCTGCTCCCAGCCAGCGAGCGCGCTCGTGCGCGACTGGAGGAGGGGAGGGGGGGGGGGGGGGGGGGGGGTTCGACGGGGAATGTCCGCGGTCTCTCGCAGGTCACGTGTTAGGGACAGGCGCATCCGCTATGCAGGCGCTGCGAGCGGGCGTTCTCCGCGCGCGCGCCTGGCTCTGTCTCTGTTGCAAAGTTGTTTCTTTTTCGCTCTCGTCGGACTGTCGGTTGGCGCTCGCCCGGCGGCGACGTTCGCGCTACGGGCGCACGGATACTGATGCGCCCATCGTTTCCCTGGATGGATACCCACTGACCTTGGCTTTGAATCTTTATATGGACTGTTCCATTAGGCTCATAGCAGAGAGGGTAAAAAGAGAAAAAAAAAATGCCCTCCCACTCTCGCCCGTATGTCGTCTGCTCCGCCGAGTGGGCAGTACCTAGCATCCGGCTGGCGTACAAATTCTGTTTAAAATCACGTCATTTTGGGAAGTTCAAGCGCGGATGCGCAGATTTTGGTATGCCAGTTATCGTGTATTACTGTGCTAGATAAAAAAGACTAACACAGTCCAATTGCGCTGTTATCTGCGTGCAAATAAAAAAAGAGGGAAACTGTGTCAGACTGGCCGGTCTCTCCGGCGAAAAGTGAATCCGGTGGCTGTACCTTTTTTACTATACAAAGTTCGTACTGGTGTAGGCCTTTAGCGACCATGAGTGGTTGTCTGAAATAATAAATAAAAACGTGCTCTCCTGCCGCAATACACGCAGTAGTTTAGGGTAGCACTGCCGGCTGATATGTCAGTTGAGCATTTACCGAAGTAGAACAACAGAGAGCTCTAGGCTGATTTTGGAGTAGCCTTAACTATTCTAAGAACGCGAACCGCTTCACAACGGCAGCCACGAGCGAGAGTTCGATGTTGCGTACAGCCCGCCGATACAGCCCAAAGATGGAGAATGGCAACCTCCCGTTTTGTCGTCTGGTAGCGGAGTCGGGCGCGTGCCTTCTCTTTCGTTTTACCCCGCCGAACCCGCTGAATTTCCCAGATGTATGGAGAGGGCGCTGCTGTCGAACAAAATGGAGCCGCCCAGAGCGCTAAATGGAATCGTTTATAGTGTGAAACTGAATACCGTGTTTGTGCGTGCTGTGTGTGTGTTCCGTGCTCCGTGTTTGGTGACGACGCCTGGACGACCATGTGCGCCGCCGGAATTTCCGCTGCGCTGACCACTGGACTCTACAAAAGTATTTCGCGCTATGCCCTTAGCCGTTACAAGCGAGATCGTCGCGATTTCAGACCCAGTCCGCCTGGGTCTGAGATCGCGACGATCTCGGTTGTAACGGCTAAGGGCATAGCACAAAATTCTTTTGTCGTTGAGGCCAGGGGTGAGCGCAGCGGGAAATCCGGCGGTGCACCGCCTAGGTCTAAAATTGGGGCTGGAAATGCGCGGTTCCAGGCTGGATACAAACTGGTGCCCCAATTTTGGGTCAAGGCGGAACCGGCAGTTTTCATCCCGGCCTGTATCTGACATTTTCGTACAGGATAGGGCGCCCGGTCGCAGATTTGGAGCGCATGGACCTGGTAGCACAGAGCATTTCTCGGGGAGTCTGGTATTGAGCGCACAGCTTTTGCAGCGGTGAGGACCCAAAACATGGTTTTCATATCCGACGAGAAAAGAAGCGGTAGCCTGAGGAACGCGAGAAGCACTAGCGGACATTCGATCCCTCGGCGTCTCGCCGCGGCGGGGCGCCCGTTACATGACTTGTCTGCCGCTGTATCTTTTCACTTTTGGCGGCCGCGTCACGTGACGATCTGCCAGGCTTTGTCAGTATAAAGGAGGCTATGGTCTATGTTGAGTTTGCATCATGCGAATTTGATTACGGTCTATCGGAGAAGAGGTCGTTCACAGGCTTTGACTATTCTAGGGTGGTGTTTGCTAAGACCACTGGATTCTCGCAGAATGGATGTATTCCTCAAGTAAATTATATATTTGAATCCAGGTTCACCTAGAAAGCAGAGACGGCTTTCTCGACAGGCGCTCGAGATGCCCACAGGGGAAAATGGCGGCGGCATCCACCCCTCCCAATTCAAAAGAGAAAACCCCGAGACCGCGGCGCATCCAGCCGTTCCAACTACGCAGAACCTGTCTGCGTAAACACGATTTTCTAGGGGTCACTTGTATTCCCCATGGCAAGTATTAGGTGGTCTCTCCGCGGGTTGGAGGCAAAGTACTGCCGCTCACCGTCAGGTAACTTGGCCGGCTTCCACTCGGCGCAGTGTGCGCTGGTGCCGCAGCTCCGGGACGCCTCCGACGTCGGGTCCTGCGCTGACATGAAACCCGGAGCCGCGAACCCTCGTGCGCACAACGTCCATTCCTCGTCTTCCTCGTCGGCGTGGGCCTGCGTACTAAACCTGCCTCTTTTTTCTCGTCCATGCCTCGTCTTCCTCGTCGGCGGTCGCCTCTCCTGCGACCGCATTCGCACCCTGGCTTTCTTCGGCGCCATGTTAGGCCCGTGTATAGATAAAGGACAAACAGGAAGTTTTAGAATAGCGCACGCTAAAGCTTTGCGTACGCCAAGAATAGCGTCGTCGTCACTGCGCATGTGCCGAACGCTAATCACGTTCTGTGCCTGGCGTGCGCTATTTTTGCGTACGCTACTTCTCGGAAATGGCGTGCGTACGCAAAGAGTCTGCTCTCCTCCAAGGAGGATTCGTGATAAGAAGTTGGCTAAAGCCAACGTTTGCTCTAGCAAGACGAGTACAGTTAAAAAATGGCGGTTCACAGAAAGACCTATGCGCCGGTCAGAAATCGCCGGCGGCGGCGCGCGGGAGAACACGGAACGATAAAAATAACGCACAAGACAACAAGTCTCAAACACAGCTTTTATACCCGTTTTCACGTCAAGAACTCTAGTAAAAAGAGTCCGACTCCTGGCGAACCATTTCTAATTTCCACCTTTATGTGGAGAATTAAGATATATGTAGCTGGATTCTACTATATATATTACCAAGACGTACACGTTCCAGCGCCAAAATCATAATTTTTTTCTCCGACAACCAAACCTCGTAAGACTTTGTGTGGCGTATATCTTTGTTTCATGTATGTGCTCTCCCCCTCTGTAATGCCTTCGGGTTCTGAGGGCACTTTTATAAATAAGTTGTTGTTGTTGAAAAACTTTATTGAGTTGAAAGATTTAGGAAAGGGAAGGGGAGAAAGGGGAAGAAAAAGGAGAGAGTGGTTGTGTGCCCCTATTCCGGGGCTCCAATTGCGGAGTGAACTCGGAGTGCTCGGGCCACGAGCAGCCTCTGCTCGCTAGCCGTCGCGTACTTGAGTCCCGCTTCCCACTCCTCGAGTTTGGGCTGCTCGACTGGAGCCAGTCCTGGCAGGTTCTTGCATGCCCAGACAACGTGATAAACGTCCACCCAGGGCTCACCACAGAAGGGACAGTCCGCCGTGGCGTACCGCTCTGGGTACCACAGATGTAGCTGGATCGGTGTGACGAACGTGTCCGTCTGAAGTCGTCTCCACGTGAACTCTTCTTCTTTGCTGAGACTTTTGGCCGGCCCAGGATATTCTGCCCTATGTGTTCGTAGATCAATGCTCAAAACTTCATTTTTTTTCTTAAAAAAAAAGAAGACGGATATAGTTTATTTGAACAACGAACGCTCCTATATATATGTCAAGACCCTCACCACCAAAAAAGAACTCTTTAAAAAAAAGGGTATCGCCATACACCCTTTTGTCCCATATAACGCACCCCTAAACTTTATTTCGACGCACAGCGCACAGACATTCATACATTTTACAAGGGGCTTGATAACGGAGCGATGTAACTTATTAAAAAGCTAAAGTACCTATCAAAGACCACAGAAAGGAAACTTTGAGGTTTTGCAGTAGGGCCAAGAAAACCCCGATTATTTTTTTGGTAGTCAGTAAAACGTACATTAGCTATTTTAACAAGTTGTACCACACGGCTATCAAGCCTCTCGTGAAAGTTAGTACTGTCAGATTGACGCCTGAAGTTTTGGGGGGTCTTATATGGGACAAAGGGTGTAAGAATACACCCTTTTTGTTTTAGAGTGCAGGTCACTGAAAGCCGGACATTCAGACAGATCCAAATGATTAATGGTCACACCAACCTGCCACCCAGACGACCCCGCTTGATGACTGACCAGCCACATGCGGTAACAGGGAACTCCATCAGAACCCTTACTAATATGATACACGCGTGACGAGATGTCCCTACAGCGTGCAATTCGTTTAACGAGTTTCGATGAAACGATCGTATCGACAAAACCTGTGTCTGTGAAACGTGTGCCCATGACAAGTTGTCTGCGTTACGTAATTCCACGAAATGAGTTTCGGCGAAATGAGCTATAATACAAGCCATAATTCCCGGCGCTAGGATACAGGGATGCTTTTTTTCACTTATCCCAGTGGATACAGGAAGGTGTGCTCCAGTAATCACCAGAGTCGCTACAATTCAGATGAAGAGTTTGCTGTTCTGGTATGCTGCATTCTATTTATATGTCTTATTGTTGTATTTAGTTAAGCCATTTGGTTACTTTATTTCTTGTGGATTTTCAGATGAGAATGCTTCCAGCATTGGTTTTCTTGCCAATTGCCGACATTCCCGAGGCCTTCCAGGACCTTATCGAGGTTTTCCCCACCGATGTCTCACTCGTGGCGGACTACTTCGAGGACGTGTATATCGGGAAACCCCGTCGAAACTGCTTGCATGTCGTCGGCCACCTTCCCTCCTCTGGTGTCGTCAGTCAGAGAATCAACACTAGAATAAATGCCAAGGACGAACAACAGCATCGAAGCGTGGCACCGGGGACTGCAGGTAAGGACTGACCTAATCCTCTGTGAACTTGGAAGTTTTCTGTAGCACAGTTTTGCATTTGTGGTTCAAAATTTCAGTACGGTGCCCAGTCAAAAAGCTTTCTGCACGAGTGTGTGTGTTCTTTTTTCTTTTTATGCCAGAGCAACGCGGGCTGAAGTTCTCCCAATTATTGGGCGTTCCTGGGCTGCATAAAGAGGGAGCAGTCCTTGACAGAGATGAAGCTGGCTCAAGCAGAGGGTTGCACGACATCTTCGAGGGTATCAAAGAAGCACGCCGACTGCAACCGGCGTCTTCAGATCATTGTGAGCCGCTACGATGGTCGCAATCGTCTTGAAACCTTGAGGGCGGCAGTTGCGGAATATCACTTTTTAATTTGTTTTTATTTCGCTCAATAAACCTGTTGTTTCCTAAGTACAACGATAACTTGTTTGGATGTTCCCTCTCTTCAGTAAAAATGAATTATAACGTACTATAGTCTTTATTCGAATATTCGGTTCGCACAGTGACAAACGTTCCTAGTGACAAATTCCCCTATGACGAATGTTCCGCTGTGACGAACGGGCCTATCACCAGTTGGCCGATGACGAATGCGCACACTACAAACGGGCCTACACCCAGCTGATAGGGGACGCGACAGTCACACCAGCCGCATCAGCATCAGCAACGTGGCAGCGGCCTAGGAGCGTTTTTTGAAAAGGTGTATTCCCTGCAATCAAGGAGATCCGTTACACTACACACAAAAACATATTTGCGCATGAGCTTCCCTGCTGAGCAAGCCGCCCGCCAAGCATGGTGTGCCTTGGAATGCGAACAGAAAATGACGAGCCATGGATGCTCATTCTCCGTGCACACATCGCCTTTTTGGGGCGGGAGGCTTACCTGTACTTTCTTATTCGCTAACATCCTTCCAAAGCTAGCAATGATTGGGGCTTGACATGCTTTGGGGTAATTCCATGTCAAACGTCCCGGACGTTTCGCTCGACCCTTTCCGATTTTTAAAATATATTTCATGGCCTTTTGCCTCAATGTCCGTAGCCATGCCCTGAAATATTTTTCACGAAAAAATTTTTTGATGACGTGAGCGCGGTTTTAACTTTTAAAAACAGCGTTAAACTAGGCATCACTCAATAATTGATGAAAGATGAGCTTTTTAGTGAAACAGCCAACAATATTTATTATTAAATTTTCACGGCTTTCGACTAACAATGTGGTTGGGCTTGTAAAGTTTTGTTTAATTTAAATATTAAAAAAAAAACTTTTTTTTTTAATTTTAACATTTTGTTATTTTATCAAAAAATATATAATTGCTCCCGGGACTTAAAGGGGCGATGCAACATTTTTTGTACTTTGCGCGAATACCGCTTAGAACGGATCCCTGACATTAATGACATATGAAACAGGCGTTCGTTTTTCATCCCACGCAATAGAAGTCCCAGAAAAAAATTAAAGAAAAACGAGCAGCCTACACCCCCTCAACTCGCAGCCAGAGCAAGCGGCCACGTGATCTGGAGCCGATTATATGCCGCCAATGTAGATCATAGCCACGCGCTGGGGTTGGCAAAGCACAGGGCACGCGCTGAGTTCCAGACATTGTTATGGCTCGGCTATTGTCGTCGTTGCAGCGATTGGGCACGGGCCACTACCCGAATGCTTCTCGAGCTAGTAATTATCACGAGCCCAAATCGAGTGCCCACGCAATGCTCGGCTCCAATCTGTGAACAGCATTCAGATATCGTCACTTGGGTGTACTGCGATCCCCACGTTACGTCATGAAATTTTGCAAAAGAGAGATTGATCGAAAATGATTGCTTTTGTCCTTGAAATTACACCGCAACAAATGAGTTTCTTGGCCAGCGGAGTTGCCTGCGAGTAAGCTCGTGTATAGTGACTAGTACCAGTAAGCTCGTGTATAGTGAAAAACATTCCAACTGAATATCGTTGCACAGCTCCTCTAACAGAACTTTTTACCGGCTGCGCTGCAGTTATATACACCAACTCATGTTTACAAACAAACCGGAGCGCCGCTAGCGGATGCCACCGGCGCCGCGCATGCGGGGTGGACGGTGGGCAAGAAGCCCGCCGTCGCCCATAAACAAACCATTGCATTGCGTTGTTTTCGGCGTCGGTAAGAGTCCCCGTGCTCTTTTACGCGTTAGAATTGTTGATTTTACGTCCTCCTAACAATGTCTGACTACTTGAGCGGCTTCAGCAAAATTAACGATGCAAAACTTTGCGTGAATAATGTGACTTGCGGCGCGATTCATTTCACGCGGACGCCGCAGAACAAGCGCTAAAGCCTGACTCCCACGATAAGATTCTGCTGGCTATTTTCAGTCGCGACGTCGCTCGGGCTGCAAAAGCGTGGACCCTAGCTGAGATGGTGGACGTCGATACTGAAAACCGCAAGTAGAATCGGGCATTACAAATCGGTGATGGCCACTGGTAACAATGATCAACATCTTGTATCTACTGTTTACACTTAGCCTACTTACCCCAACCAACTTTCAAAAGTGTTTTGAGGCCTTCACTTAGTTCTTATCGCAATTACCGGGTCAACGTTTGGTTTACGGGCCGCTGTTGTTTGAACGCGCTGACGACAAAAAGCAGACAAGTTTGAAAGAGCAGACGACAGTTCGAACGCATGCGAAATGGATTGCGGGGAAGAAGCACCGCGTCCCGCGTCCACAAACCTTTGGAATGTTACGTTGTCGGCGTCTGTGTGAGTCTGCATACTCTTTTTCGCGCCGGAATTGTCGAATCTATGTCCCCATAGCAATGTCTTACCACTTTAATCGCCTGAGCGAAACTATCAAGGCTCGTTACACCGCTAAACTTTGCGTAAATAATTTGACTCGCGGCAATTCATTCGCGTGAACGCCACAGAATGGACGCCAAAACCACGATGAGAATCTTCTAGATATTTTCGGTCGCGACGTCGCTCGTGCTGGAAAAGTGTAGAAGGTAGCGGCGATGATCGAAGTCGATACTGAAATTCGGAAGCGGAAACAGACCAAGCGTAACAAGTCGGTGATGGCCACTGGTACCAATGATCAACATCTTGTATGCACTGTTTACACCGAGCCTACTTAAGTCGTTTGAGGCCTGCAATTTTTTCTTATTGCAATCACCGGGTCAAAGTTTGGTCTACGGGCCGGTTTTGTTTGAACGAGCAGACGTTAAAAAGCAGACAAGTTCAAAAGAACAGACGAAAGTTCGAACGATCAGGCGGCCGTGTGAATTTGAAGACGCACTGAACCCGCGGGGGGCCCGGACAACTTGGCGGTTCCCTCTCGTTCATGTTGGAACAAAACAAATATATCTGGCGACCACAAAGTGTTGCCCGCACAAGCAATCGCAGTTCGACAGCGTCTGGTTTACCCTTTTCACGGCTACTATCCACCTACTCGGACGAACGGAGCGGGCAGAAACACGTGAAAACTGATCTCAAACCTTTCCAAACTCTTTTGGCACAACCCCCGTCGCAGCATTTTGACGAGAACGCAGGTTTTTTGTCTGGTTTCTCCGAAAAGAACACAAGAATGCATGTCTCGCGCGGCGACTTTTGCCCACCGCCCCAGACCGGAAGTGCGTTCGACGCGCCACCACCGCGGCGTGACGTAGGAGAGTTGAGTTGGTGTATAATCTATCAAAAAAAGTTTAAACCCTCTCAATGAAATATATCGTAGTAAACAAAAATCCTGAAGTTGCACAAAAGTGCTTTTTGGCGTATACACAGCCGTTTATTTCACCCTGAGGTGTTCCTAGTAAAAATACGAAGTATGGTGGGTTTGGAAGAACAATCGATAATTTATTGATTCTGAAAGTTTAATCAAAGTAATTTTTGTTTAAAGCGAGAAAACAATTTTTGAAGTTGAACTCTCGCACCACAACCCCACGTCGCTTCTTAACGCCTCTTCGCCGCACAGCACGCCACCTGCGACGGTAGCTGACACGATTAGGTCCAAAGAAAGAACGGACCCAGGCAGCACACGACGTCGGGCCAAGATTGGTATTTATCTGGCGATCAGTGGTCCAATGTTGCGCCAAGGAGGCCATCGTGTTACCAACGTTGGCGGTACACTCGCATATACTGGCCAACATTGGCCTGTCTTTACTAACGACTTGTCAACGTTGGCAATCGATTGGCTTAGGCTGGCCAACATCGGCCTATCTCAGCTAATGGCTTACCAGCGTTGGCAATCGATTCGCTTAGGCTGGCCAACATTGGCCAATCCCAGCCAATGACTTTCCAACGTTGGCAATCGGTTGGCTTAGGCTGGCCAACATTGGCCTGTCTTAGCCAATTGGTTACAAACATTGGTAATCAATTGCTTAGGCTGGCCAGCATTGGCCTGTGTTAGCCAATGAGTTGCCAGCATTGGTAATCGATGGGCTTAGGCTGGCCAACATTGGCCTGCCTTAGCCAATGGGTTACCAACATTGGTAATCGATTGACTGAGGCTGGGCAACATTGGCCTGTCTTAGCCAGTGGCTTACCAGAGTTATAATTATTTGGCTTAGTTTTTTACTGTGCTGATCGGGAGCCACATCGCGCACGATGTGGCTCCCGGAGGTGAACGATTCTTCTGTTTTCACACGCACAGCAACTTAGCACCTGAATTAGAACGCTGTATGCATTGCGAGTTGTAGCTATTCCGAACGCCCACGAAGAAAAACGCCGTAGTGGGTGACAGGTTAAAAGTAAACGCTAGGGAGGAGATCGCCTCCTCCAGATTCTTCGCTCTCCAAAAGTGAAAAGAGATGGGAGGAGCTTTTACCACCTGTCACCGACTATGACTAACACGCGTCATCCCAAAACTGATAGCTATGCTCAGTAAATTCCACACGAAGTACAAAATGCACGCTTCCTTCCATTTGTGTGTATGTTTATAAGGCAAAAAGCATAGTGCTTCTTCTCTTATGCTCATTTAGCGACGCAGCCAGGAAACGTTTCCAAGGGGGGTAGGGGGGACGCAGGGTTCAACCCCGAAAGCTCCACGCGCCTCCCCAGTATCTACGACACGGGTACCTTGTCAGCCTTATGTGATCTTGAAAATCTCGAAGCAACCCGCTTTGCTGAGCCGTAAAACACGGCCTATAATTGAGACCAAACCGGACAAGATTAAAAATAAATAAAAAGCCCTAATATTTTTTAGCAAAAATAAAACCTTAAACCAAATATCCAGCGATTGATTAAGCAATTACACGTCTTCACGAATAAAAAATCACGTTGAATTAATATCTCGAACACACTACGTTTGAGGTAGGAGGTGACATAAGTTGATTCGCATTTCAATCTGCAAGCAAAGGTTATCACGCAACATATAGCAGAAGAAGCTGGTGCATTATAT